CCCACGCCCCCCCCCCACCCCCCACCACCAGCTCAGGTGCCCAGTAGCTGTGTGAAGCATTTTGACATGTCCTCCTGATGTGAAAGACACAAAAAATTTTTTATTGCATTGCACTGTATAGTTCATTACATTGTGTTCCTGAAACTAGATAATTGCTAAATAGTCAGAGCATTTTTACACTGTGTCATAAGGATATTTGTGTAATGTTTCTTGGAATGTATATGAGGTGCAAGATACTCTATTCTGACGGCTGGACGCTCAGATCTTTGCCTTTGTGTACTGAAGAGTTTATTCTCTGTAAATCTGGTATCAGTGATTGGTACAGTATGCTACAGTTGATGGGAAATTACATGATAGTCTTTAACACATGGAAGTGCACCAGAACAGAGCCCAGGCTATCGATCAGAGCTGTATCTGCACAATAAATGTACTGAATGGGAACCTGGCATGACTGGAATGGGAGACCTTGTAGTCTCATCACATCATTTACTACTCTATTGTTCTATGTCAGTCCCACGATGGGAATTTAAGCTCATAGTACACGTTGCCACTCACAATGCATTGTTGGAGGTGCTACCTTTTGGATGAGACATTAAATTGATTCATATCTGCCTGTTCAGGTGGATTTTAAATAAATCATGGTATTATTTGAAAGGAGAAGGGAATTTCTCCACATACTAAGAGAAATTCCCTGGCCAACAATTCCCTAGACTAAAAAAAACAGGTAATTCTCTTCATGGCTGTTTGTAGGGCATTGCTGTTTACATTTGGCTGCTGGATTCGACTACAAATATAGTCATACACTTTATATTGTGTTCAAATTCAAAATGTATTTATTATTCTTTCCGAGCATCTCAAAGCTGTGCAAATCCTCTAACCCACAATCTTCCCTTTCTACTACACTTCTCAGGCTTTTAAAACCAAGGTTAGTGGAATCCAACCACCACTCTTGATTTCTTATCATTCCTACTATTTCAACCTTGGTCGTATCCTGTCTTGTGGCCTTTGGCCTTTTGCCTCGGTTACTCAATACGAAAATCCCAAAATTGCCGCAAATCTATTTATACTATGGACCTTAGAAAGAAGAACTTGAATTTTCATAATGCCTTATCACACTGAAACAACTCAAAACACATTACAGTAATTGCTGTCAAATGTTGGTACCTGCTTTGGGAGACAAACACGGCAGCCATTTCTCATGGCAAGTTCCCACAAACAGCCATGAGTTGAATAATCAAATCATCTAAGGTTTGCTGGACAGGACACAAGAAGAAATTCTCTTTTCTTTTTTGTCATTGGATATTTATCATCCATCTAAAAACTGGCAGACAAACCCTTGGTTTTAATGTCTCGTTCAAAGAACTGCAGCTCCTGCAATGCAAAACTTATCTAACAGTGCATTGGAGTGTCAGCTTCAACTGAGCTCAACTCTCAGATGTTGGATGTGAACCCACAATTTTCTTTCCCACAGGTAAGTGTGCTGAGCAAAGCCAGCACCTTTATCATCAAGTACGTTGTTGGCTGTTAGAGTGTTACAAGGCGCATCCTGTTGAGGTACTTAGATGAGAGGTTTTCAACGTTCCCTGCATTGGTTCACATTATATGAAAGAGGAAATGATTGCAATAACATCTCTTGTCTGTACAAACTTACCACAAACATCTTTAAAGGTTTCACAAACCTTCTTGGTTACATTAATACAATAGGCTTTTTGACATTTAAGTACATGGACTAACGAGATGCTAATTCAGTTATTTTTTGGTGCAGATGTGGTGATGTACAGAAGTGTATCAGTCTTTTAGAGTCATTGATATTTTCAACTGACGGCACACCATTCAGTCTGAGTGCAGTGTGTTCAGTTATGTCCATATATGGGTTAAAAATATTCGACAGCTCTCATTAAACGTGGCTGTTCACACACTGGTTTTGGTCTCCAGAACCGAGCCGAACATCTTATCGGCATGACTTTTAACCAACTTGAGTTGTACCATTTGAACTCAAGAAGATTTCTTACTGTAATTCCTCTAGTGAGGTATTTTGCTTTCAAAGCAGATTTGCAATCTAATGTAGAGTTCACAAAAATTTGATCTCATCCTTCAAGAATATCCAACCTACTTTTATGGCATTAAATTGTTTCTCAAATTAATCCACTGTCCTGGATTCTGCCTCCTTTGCATTCCAGCTGTTGATTCCCTCTATTTAAAAGAATATTTCCTGGTGTCTGTCCTAAATTTTTTCATTCATATTGTTTTCCTGTTCTGCTAGGTTCTAGGTTTATCAGAAATTATTGTTTTGCTTGCTTTCCCTATCTTATGTACCTCTGTGAGAGTTTTTCTGCAAGAACTCTTTTCAAGGCTGAAGAATGCAGAAGTAGAGAAATATTTACCCATCGAACTTCCTAAGAGATTCCTTCAACACATCCATCTCATCATCTTAAAACCTGAATTCCTTTAATTTACAGACATGTTCCTTAAAGCTTTTACACTAAATTCCTAAAAGCCCAGCTCGGGCCTGCAATGCTGTACACTATCCAGCACCTTGGGACGTCCTCCCAACTTGAAAGGCGCTATACAAATGTAATCTTGTTGTTGTTGTGTTCCTGGGGATGAGGAAGTGTAATATTTCAGCATATGTTTTGATGACACACAGGTTATCTGGTCCCTTTGTTACATAGTTTGTTTACATCAGCATTGTCTGATTAATAGCACTCCAGATTGCTTGCCTTGTATGCTTATTACTCCTGGAAATTAAATGGAAATTAAGTTGCTGTATTTGCAGATGACTGGGTTTGCTCACACTACAGCATCCTGACGTGAAAGGCGTGTATGAATGCAATTTCGTATTGTTGTTACAGCTCTGAATGTTATAATCTAACTCGGTTACTTGCATTCTTGTTGCTGATGGATTCTTGCCCTCCCCCTAATGCTGTTCTCAGTTACAACATTCGTGAACTTGTCCCATTATTTTCCATTTATCCCCATTTAGGATTCAACTCATTCCAGACAGCTCCTTTCATCTGAGAGCAGTCATGCGTGACCATATTTAGTGCCTTGTTGCCTTGTTGCCTTGTGCAGTCCTGTAGCTCAGTGGTTAGAGCACTCGCTTTGCAAGCGAGAGACCTGAGTTCAATTCCAGGCAGAGGGCGAAACCTTGGGCAAGTTTCCTTACTCCTCACAGAGCCTAATAATAATCCCTCCAAAACCCAAAACAATAATAAATTGGTCATTCCAATCTACGACTGTTTGTGGGTCATTGCTGTGCGCAATTGGCTGCCGTGTTCGCCCACAAATATACAGTCAATTCACTTTACAGTGTGTTCTGTGAAGCGCTTTGGGATGTCCTCCCGACGTGAAAAGCGCTATATCAAATGCAAGGATTATTATTATTATTATTGTTTCATCATGTCCAGGCTGGACTACGCCAACCCTCTGCTCACTGGAATTTCTAACTCTTCCCTCCGCAAGCTGCAGACCCACCAGAACTCTGCAGCTCGTGTCCTCTCCCGCACCGGGCTCCACAATCTACCACCCCATTCTCGCCCAGCTCCACTGATACCTCACCCCCAGAGGATTGAGTTCAAGATCCATTTCTTCATTTTTAAATACCTCCATAGTCTTGGCCCACCTCTGCAAACTTAAACCGTACAAACCTGCCCACTCCCTCTGCTCTCACCTGCTTTGTTACTCTCAACCTGTTCACCCACCATCAGTGTCGGGCTTTCAGCCTTTCTCCTCACACTCTCTAAACTCCATCCCAGAGTGCCTTCACTTCGCCCCTCCTTCACTTCCTTCAAGGTCCATCTCAAGACATGCATGTGGATGAATGTGGTCTCTGTCTCTATTGATAATAATAATCCTTGCATTTGATATAGCGCTTTTCACATCTTCTTGACGTCTCAAAGCACTACACAGAATAGACTGTAAAGTGAAGTGACTGTATATTTGTGGGCGAAACGCGGCAGCCAATTGCGCACAGCAGTGTCCCACAAATAGTCGTGGATTGAAAATGACCAATTTATTATTGTTTCGTTTTGGAGGGATTATTATTAGGCGTTTGGAGTAAGGAAACTTGCCCAAGTTTTCGCCCTGCTGGGAATTGAACCCAGGTGTCTCGCTTGCAAGGTGAGTGCTCTAACCACTGAACTACAGGACTCCACAATCATCATTATCCTGTCAGAGCTGAACTCTATTATTCTGCAAATTAAACCATCTTTCAAAATCCAGTCCATGGAGTTTCGTCACACTGGCATGACCGGTTTACAGCCACGTTGTAGCTTTCAGCACCATCTACTGGTGGAGAATGACAGTCTGAGAGCTGTTTTCACTTGCATGTTCATCTTCTGCTCTATTATACATTGGATTTCTTGTTGTATACTGTGTATCTGGGCACACTGAAACTTCTGTCTACCTGATGCCCGGAGAGTTGGGTAAAAACATTCTTTTAGTGCAGATTTGGCATGGATTCAACACTGTGCATTTAGATTTTGCAGGAACAAGGAATCAGTAGTATGATTGCAGAATGGCCAGCGTATTGGACACAACCAGGCATCATAATGTGCTTTTCGATGTTTACTTACAAATACATAGTCATTCCACTCACAGAAACTTTGTGTAGCACTTTGGATGATGTTGAAAGTTTCGGGTGCTATAATCAAAGTTTATCAATTTAAAATAATATTTATGCCCAACTTAGGACAAATGCAATTGAACTCAACAAATCTGAGTCAATGGGTCCAGGGAATTATTATTGGCAGCTATCAGGTCATCCATGTGATGTTTCACAACAGGAGTGATCACATTCTGTTTCTTATGAAATATAGCATTTTACCCGTATGCTCTATTTTGTGTTCTGAGACGGAAGTGGTGGGAGTCTTGCAAATCTGAAGTTATAGCATGTGTGCATGTATGTTGAAAACTTATGTTGAATGTAAAACATAATGAGCTTTAACTTGCTGCAGTTATATTTATGAAAATTTCTCACCTTTTTCTTTGTTGTCTTCCAGGCCATGGCTGTTTCTGATGGAGGTTAGTATTGAAAACTGAACGATGCCGATGGAAACGACCTGTGGTAGGATTGAGAGTTGACAGCAGTAATGTTTAAATGAAAAATGGTGAATGGTGAATTAATTGACTGCTACATTTAAGAGGACAATAAACATTATCTGAAGACATAACCTCAGCCTGTAGTGGAACATGGATCCATTTTGCTACACATCCGATTTCTAATAAGATTCCCTTGATGTCTGAAGTATGTCAGTCTGGCTTAGTTTCCACATCAGAACTCATGTAGTTGACTGGGGGTGCACTGCATTGCTGGATGTGGCGTCCTCAGATGAGATGTTAAACCGAGGTCCTGTTAGCTTGTTCAGGTGGTTGTTAAAGATCCCATGGCACCTTGTGAAAACAGTGGGGACTTTAATGACCAAATGTATAACCCTGCATTGCTCACACTGCTTTACAGGTTATTTTGTAGTTATTGTTTTGAGTTTCAAACTCTGAGAGAAGAGGAGGACGTGATACTGTGCTAACAGTGGTACTTTGTGTTGAGGTGTGAACCATGTTTACAGGTGAATACAACCACAGCATGGCAGTCTGGCTCTGTACTTGTCTAGTTTGACTTCAATTTATCTATTGTGGTTGGGGCTCAGACCCATTCAGGGAAGTAGCTGTGAAGGTTGTGTGGTTTCAAGCTGCTACAGCCTCCTCTTGTTAACCACACTCACTGCACTTCCTAGATTCAGTTTAAGAGCAATGCCCAGCCAGTGAATCTTGTCACTCTCTGTATAAATTGTGTCACTGAAACTGACTTCAAGGCCTGATGTTTTGCAGTCTGATAACTAAAGATGTTTTACTCTTCTAACAGGGTAAGATCATAAGAGAGAATTGGATGAAGAAGGCACTTTGACCCATTTGCTTCATTTGTTCTTAATCTTTCAGAATAATTCAGTTTGTCATTGAGGAACAATGAGGATAGCGGTTTTTCAGAATAATAGTATTTTATCCTTAAAAAGAGATTTTCAAAGTAAACGACATGTTGTGATCAAAGAAACAATGTGCCCCGACACAAGTGGATTTTCTATTTACACAAGAACAACAACAAATTACATTTGTATAGGCCTTTCACGTCAAGGACGTCCCAAGGCGCTGGCCATTCAGGCACCAGCACCCGAGCTGGTGGTTGGGATCAGGAGGGGTACAGGGGGGGAAGGAGGATGACCGAAGGCACGGTCGAAGAAGAGGGTCTTGAAGGAGGCAAGGGAATCCTACCTCAAATCCTGGGAATCCTACCACAAGAGTAGAATGGCATCTGGCTACAATTAGTGCGTTAGGCCCAGCATACACTCTCTGCTGAAGAAAATTCCGCAGGATCTTTAAAATCCAGGTGAACAGGCAGATGAGACCTCGGTTTATCATTTCATTCAAAGAACGGCATCTATAACAAGGCAGAGCACTTCTAGCACTGCATTGGAATATCAGCTCGCAGTGAACACAATAGAGGGACCTGCAGCTAAACATTTTCCTAATTGCCTCTTTCGTCACTGCTTCCAGCAGCCAAATGACCAATGATGGCAATTTTCCATTCCGCGCTTTTGTGTACCCTCTGAGACAGTTTTTTTTCCCCCAGATCATAGCACTGTGATCCCTTCTGCCAGGAATGTTGATATTGAACAGAAACTGGAGACAGCAACAACAACAAGATTCCATTTATAGAGCGCCTTTCACATCGGGAGGACGTCCCAAGGCGCTGTACAGTTGGGTCAGGACCCGAGCAGGGGATAAATGGTCAGGGTAAGGGGAGGGAAGTGAGGGAGCGAGGAGGGGGTAGAGAGTCGAGAGGGCAGCTGAAGGCACGGTCAAAGAGAAAGGTCTTGAGACCGGCCTTGAAGGAGGAAAGGGAGGAAGCGGCGAAGGCACTGGGTGATAGAGTTCCAGAGCCTCGGGGCTGAGAGGCTGAAGGCCTGGCCACCGATGGTAGGGCGGTTGGGGCGGAGGATGTGGAGCAGACCGGAGCCAGAGGAACGGAGGGTGGGAGTGATGTGTTCCCGAAGCCTGGTGCGGGACAGTACACGAGCTGCAGAGTTCTGAATGACCTGCAGTGTGGAGGGAGGTGGCGGGAAGGCCGGCGAGGAGAGAGTTCCCATAGTCCAGCCTTGAGGTGATAAAGGCGTGGACCAGAGTTTCAGCAGCGTGAGGGGTGAGGTAGTGCCGTAGTCTGGCGATATTTCGGAGGTGATGGAAGGCGGTGCCAGTTGTGGCGCGGATATGAGGAAGAAAGGACAGCTCAGGGTCGAACAAAACACCGAGGTTCCTGATGGCTTTGAGAGGTGGAGAGTGCAGTCTTGGATGCTGATGCTGTCAGCGCCTGAGGTGCGGAGGTGGTGACGTGAGCCAATCAGGAGGGCCTCAGTTTTGCGCACGTTGAGTTGAAGAAAGTTGTCTCTTGTCCAGGACTCAATGTCAGACAGTCAGGCTGTCAGGACATCAGTGGTCGTGGAGTTGAGGGTAGAGGGGGAAAGATAGAGTTGGGTGTCATCCGCATACATGTGGAAGTTAACCCCATGTCTGCGGATGATGTCACCAACGGGGAGCATATAGAGGGTGAAGAGGAGGGGACCGAGGACAGAGCCCTGAGGGACACCGCACGAGACAGTGCGGGGGCTGGAGGAAAAGCTGGAGGAAAAGGAAAAGAGACGACAATGCACCATGTGTATAGAGGGAATAGCCAGCTCCTTTACTAACATATTTAACAATCAATCTGTCAATACCAATTACTTACATTATAGAGGACACCTACAGTTATCCTGTGTACATGCAATTGCGCAGGGGACATAATGAACCATATTGAATGAAGTGATACTGACTATAACCTGTTTGGAATCAGTCACTTCCTGTGTATTATTTGTGTGTGGGAGAGGGAGAGAAAGCAGAAGTCGGTTGAGAACTCTGAAAGTTTGGATACTGAACATGCTGGTGCACACTTCTCCGATCATGTTTAATTTAAGACGTTTAGGAATCTTCAAAGTCCGGGGTAGTTTTACAAAGTCCGGTGAGTGTCAGTTTGTGTGCTTACTGTGGTTTGTGGAAGCCGATAACTTGGTAATACTATACAATCAATACAATACAGATTTACATTTATATGGCATCTTTCACATTGGAGGCTATCACAAGGTGCTCGACAGCCGAGAGTTTGCACCTGAGGTGGGGGTGGTGGGTGAGTGGAGGGGGCGGCGGGGTGGGTGAGGAAGGTAGGTGAGAGTGTGATCAAAGAGGAAGGTCTTGAGATAAACCTTGAAGCAGGGTGAGCGAAGAGGGTGAGTCGAAGGTACTTCAGGATGGAGTTCCAGAGAGTGGTGGCAGATACCTGGAAAACCTGACAGTCGAGCATGGGTGGGCAGTGCAGGAGCTGTGAAGCAGGCTGGTACCTGCTGAGCAAAGGAAGATGCCACATTGTTAGGATTTGAGGAGGTTGCAGAGATAGGATGGAGCAGGAGTTTAAGGATGGGATGAGGGTCTTGAATTCGAATGCTTTCTATGTTCATTTATGTACAATAATTAAATTGGTCATTTTCAATCTACGACTGTTTGTGGGACATTGCTGTGCGCAATTGGCTGCCGCATTCGCCCACAAATATACAGTCAATTCACTTTACAGTGTGTTCTGTGAAGCGCTTTGGGACGTCCTCCTGACGTGAAAAGCGCTATATCAAATGCAAGGATTAATTAATTAATTCATTCATTCATTTGGGACGTCCTCCCGACGTGAAAAGCGCTATATCAAATGCAAGGATTATTATTATTATTATTTGGCAGAACAAATTGAGATCAGAGGTAATAAGTGCTTGAATATTGATAGTGTTTGTTCTTATTTATTCAGAAAGTTGTGGTAATAATAATCCTTATATTCGATGTAGAACCTTATAAAATTGTTTGAATGTTTCAAAACGCCTCACAGTATTTAACGTCTAATCTGAAGGAAGGAAATCTGCAATCTTCAATCAACTCTGCGTGATTACTGTTGACTATTTTATCAATTGTCAGCCTGGCTCAGTGGTAGCACTCTTGCCTCTGAGTCAGAAGGTTGTGGGTTCAAGTCTCATGTCCAGACGTGGACTTACATAGTCTAAGCTGACAATGCGATACAGTTCTGAGCTTGTGTTCCGTTATCGGAGGTGTTTCCCTTCGGATGAGGCAATAAGCCAAGGTCCTGTCTGCCTGTTCAGGTGGACATTAAAGATCCAATGGCACTATTCAAAACGAAAAGGGAGTTTATCCCGGTGTTCCTGGCCAACAATCCCCCAAATAAAATTGGTCACTCAGTTCATGGCTGTTTGTGGGATATTACTGTGCACAATTGGGCTGCTGTGTTTGTCTACAAGTACAATCATTCCATTTCAGCGTGCATCCTAGAATGTGCTTTGAGATGTCCTTCTGACTTGATAAGATAATTATTATTATTGGTTTAATGTCTCATCCAAAGGAAGGAACTACTCAAAATTCAGAACTTCCCTTGTACTGTATTGGTACCCAGTAGAACTAGTCTATGAGATTAAATCCTGATGTGGAACTTAATTTTGGCAGAAAATAATCCCACTTTGTTAGCATTTGCAAAATCAGAGTTAAAGGTGCCAAGACTCACTATAAGTCCCAGGAGCTCCCAGGTCCAACCATGGTCACATTTAGTTCTGTATGGCGGGAAGATTAAAATACCTTTCAGCCACTGAATCATTTGTTTCAGTGTTGAATAGTCAGGAACTCGCTCTGATGCTCTTTGGTTGGGTCCCTTTGTGTCTTACGTTTGTGTGAGTGTTGCGGGGAGGGAAGAGGTCAGGGGAATAAAAGCATCTCGCTCTTTCTTCTTGATCCTGATGTGTGATACACTTTACCAAAATCTTTTCCTGTCTTCCTTCATTGTTTTTCTGTGTACACAAGTGAGAATCACTAATGATATTGATACATTGGTTCCTGTTGCAATACATAATGGCCTTCTCCATTTTACTTTGAGGCTTCAGTCCTATCTGTTCTCTGCGTCCAATGCTGCAGCTCGCACACCACATAAAAACCTGCTTTGATTTTGTTTTGGTCAGCCTTGTGTCTGACACCTGAACAAACCCATCACATGCTCAAGAGTATTCAAATGAACCAGAGTTCCATGTATCCCCTGACACATGCAAATTCCCATGCATTGGAATGAAATGCACACTCTCTGCCTGGAGGGACATATCCCGTTTGCCTAATTCCGGAGAGCATTAGGCTTCGGGTCCCCAGATTGTGCATTGGGGAACTGCTGGAGTTTAACCAGCTAAAACCACAAAGCTTGCCATTGTGATCACTGCCTGTCCAGCTAAGATTACCCTTCCCATTAGGGTTTTGGCTGCTTTGACCGGTAGTAGATTGTATTGGAGTAGTGTTCTTGCAGGGTCGGAGTGATGGTAATCTCCAGTTACTGTCAGGAATGAGTATTTTCAAATCCTTGGCTTCTGACTGCTATTTCTTTTTTAAAATAACATAGGTTTAGTACGCGAAGTATTGATAAGATTTAGGATTCAGTTCCTTCTGTTATGCTCTGTCATTCTGAATGGTTCCTGTTTATGGTGTGCTACATCACATTCCTGCCCAAAGTGGGGATTTTGGCTAAAGTATTTGTAGGAAATGGAGTAAGGTTAAAATTGATATTGAAATAAATCAGATGAGTCAAACAACCTCCACGCACGCCTGTTTCCATCCCCCATGAGGATCCATTAAAATGACAGTGTCAGCTGAATCAGGTGACACTTGAGCTCACAAGACGAGGCTATCAATGAGGCAGTGGGGCTTTGCTGTATTGTCAGAGGTACCTTTTTTAGATGAGACTTTAAACTGTCCCATTCCCCTGTCTAATAGTTTCCTGTAGATGTTAATGATCCCATAAGGATCCTCAATAAATTGACCATTCTCTCCATGGCTGTTTGTGGGACCTTGCTGTACACCAAATCATTGTCTGCAAAAAGTTACACTGCACTTGATAGTAATATCTTGTAAAGATTCTTGAGATGTTTTTATGGTGATAAACCACTATGAAAATGAAACATTTGATTCTTTCGAAGTGGTTCAGGCATGTGTGAGAATTCAGTTTGTCTGACTGAACTAAGTCAAAGCTGACACTCGAAAACAGTGATGGGTGTATGTTACATTGTTGGGGATGATATCTTTCGGATGAAACATTAAACCGAGGGCCTGTCTGTGCCTGTTCAGGCTCCTCTTATTAGCATTAACACTAATGTTAACCAGTAACATTATTCAAAAAGAAAAGGGAGTTTTCCCCAGTGTTCTGGCCAACAGTCTGCTGAATAAAATTAGTCATTTACTTCATGGCTGTTTGTGGGACGTTGCTGTGTGCACATTGGCTACCACATTTTCTTACAAATATAGTGACAAATATACAGTAATCATGCACTGGAATTGGCCTCAGTGTTGTCAGACTGAGGAAAGCAATAACAGAACAAAACACGATCATAGACCATCCAGGGTCATATGACAACTGCAGGGTCAACGAGCAAAGGGAATGGGAGCACTCCCCCTCTAGGGTCAGTTGGGAGAATGGTGCACAAGAAAGTATGCTCTAAAAACCTTAAACAATTGCAACCAGTATGTAAACCCACTGAGCATGCCAAAGCAAGGCAATACTTACTCTGCAAATGATAATAATCATGCTTGCACTTGATATGGTGCAGTAAAATCCCGTGAAGCACATTGAGACGTCTCAATGACATGATAAGGCAACATATCAAATGCAATGATGATTATTATTTCTCTCTGATCTGGAACACTTCTGCTCTCTGACCCTGCAGTTGTCACATGACCCTGATGATAGTGCTTTGTTCTGTTATTGCTTTCCTCAGCCTGACGACACTGAGTCCAATTCTAGTGCAGGATTACTGTATACCTACTTTGTTTTGGACACAAGCCCGAGTCTTAGTTTGCAGCGCTATATTTTCACACAATTGCTAAGGATTGCACTTGCTTGTTCAATTTAATTTTGTGCAATTTTGTGTAACTAATTAAATGAGCCACACAAAGTACCAGTTATAAGGTAACACAATAGATCAGAAATTAAACCTTCAGCAACTACCTTCCCTCTACAACTAGAGTCTGCACCACCTCGCCTTATCCCAAAACCCCTTCAATTCTCTCTTCTTGCTGTGGATTGTCACTATACGTTGTTATACACTGTATAACTGTAATTTATTTGCAGATCATTCTACCTCTTTTGAGTGATTCATGACATTAGAATCTATCTGCCTTATGATAGAGGTGGACATTAAAGAGTCAATCTCATGCCTTGATTTCAAAGAAAAATGTTTTTTCTGGTTGATTTGCTCTCCTCCTCTGGATTCACCTAAAATTCTAACTAAATGGCTGCTCATCTCCTTGTAGTTTGTAGGACCTCACAGGCACAATTAGTTGCTGCGTTTACCTCCTTAACAACATTCACTTCATTTCCAATGAATCACTGTTTGTAAAGAGCTTTGAGACTTTTTTTATGTAAAAGGAGGTGTATGTAAGTTGTGGATCTGGAATTGTGTGATATTCAGTGAGTAACCGACAAAAGCTACAATTTACCGGAGCGCTTATGATGGTTAGATAACATGATAATCGCGAAGGTTGTTGGCATTTGATTGTTCCTGTATAACACACCCACTTCTGCTCACATAGTGATGTTTCACATGATGTGTGGTCTGGCTCTTGCTATTGCTGTAAAATGTGATTCTGGATACTCAGTTGAGATTTTTGGGACCTTCCGTTCCTATTTGAATTCCAGTATGTCCACTCTGCCCTTTTGTAATAGATGCAATCAGTAAACATAGAGAGGGAGACTCACGAGCTCTCATAAGTCAATGTAACATACAGGAGTTTATTTCTGTTAAAAATAGAATTTACTTCGCTTCGTTCCTTCCTCTCCGCCACTCCCTTCACGAACCCCTCCAATCGGGTTTCCGTGGTGCCCACAGCACAGAAACAGCCCCGGTCAAAGTGACAAATGACATTCTGTACATCTGCGACCAGGGCTCCCTCTGTGTCATGACCCGCTTTGCCTTCCCCCACCTCCGCAACATCGCCCGGCTCCGCCACTGTCTCATACCCCAGGCATCGAAATATTCTCATATACGTATTCGTAACATCGAGGCTTGACTATGCAAACTCCCTGCTTGTCGGCCTCCGCAACGCCTCCCTCCACAAGCTGCAGATCATCCAGAACTCTGCAGCACGTGTCCTCTCCCGCACCAGGCTCCATGACCGTGTCACCTGCATCATCGCCCGACTCCACTGGCTTCCCATCACACAGAGGATACAGTTCAATATCCTGGTCCTCACCTTCAAAGCCCTCCATGATCTTGGTCCCCCCCCCCACCTCTGCGACCTCCTAACCCTCTACCATCCTGCCCTGCTCCCTCAGCTCAGTGGGCTCCAGCCTGCTTCATGTCCCCTGCCTCGCTCGTCCACCATTGGAAGGCGGGCCTTCTGCCACGCTGCCCCTACCCTCTGGAACAATATCCCACAGTCCCTCCACCTCGCCCCCTCCTTTGCCTCCTTCAAGACCCATCTCAAAATCCTCCTCTTCGACTGTGCTTTCGATCACCCTGCTTCCCTCCCTGCCCTCCACCATCTCCAATCCTGACCCCCAGCTCGGGTGCAAAACACTGACAGTCCAGCACCTTGGGACATCCTCCTGACATGAAAGGCGCTATACACATGTAATTTTGTTGTTGTTGTACTTTGTGAGGTGCTTTTACTGGAGGCCAGGCTGGATTGATATCACCATGATCTAAGATAAGCCTACTTAACGTTCGGCCGTTTCTGAACTATGCTGATGGTATAAACTGAAAATACATTGGCCCTGTTAAGTAAATAATGTTTACAATCTTTATTCTACCTGTAAACTTCTTGTATGTGTACAGTCAAAAATGCCATATTCCTAAACCTGTTCTGTTCATTTTTTAAGGCCTGGAAGAGTCCAAACATTTCTGTAAATCTTACTTTGCTATTTGTAAATGTGGAACTTGGCCTCTCTGGTCTTACTCATGGGGAAACTCCTGTATAACTCAGATTATGTTAGACTAGTATCTCCTGAATAAACTCCACAACTTTCAGTGAACTAAATAATGCAAATGAAACTTGGTATTCAAGCAAAATCCAGGGTATTGCAGTCATGTTTGGGAGCTACCAATATTCAGACATCGGGGAGGGTGGTGGTAATTCAAAACAAATTTTAAAATGCTTACTTACATAATGAAGAGAATATGTTTAGAATTTTAACCCCCATTCTCTGTATTGGTACATCTTTTCATTAGAACTCTGTAACTTGTGGAAACTCTTTAATAATGATATTGATTGACTATAATGGATCTATTTTGGGCAGAGTTGAACATCACTGAGGTGGATGGGCATGTGAGCGAGCAGGTGCTGAACATCAATGCCAGTCTGCCCAGTGTCCAGAGCAATGAGTGCTACACTGAGAGGGCGGTTGCCAGCTGGGCCGTGTCCTTTGAAAGACTTCTACAGGACCCCATTGGTGTCAAGTATTTCACTGTGAGTATTGGATGCTGGAGTCCAGCATTGACCTTTACCATTCTTTGACCTCCAGAAGAGTTCTGTTCATCATTGCTGTCACAAGTGCTCTAGACACATCTGTATGTTGAGGAGACAGAACAAGAGAGAGAGAGAATCGGATCTGGGAGCATGGAACCCATTACATCACCATCAGTGGTGTTTGGCACTATCCAAGACAGATGATCCTCAAGAGTAAGAAGAACTTGCAGCTCCTTTCATGTGAAACAATTTCTCAATGCCCTCAAGAAATCTAATGTGGGCACAAGTAGGGAAATGAGAGATATATTGATGAAAAGTTCAAACAAAGAGATGTGGTTTTACTGGTTCTTGAAGGTAAGGAGGGCATATACTTTTGGGAAGAGTTCATAATGGCACAGGGGATGGTGCTTTCCTACAACTCTGGATACTTTAAACATTTCCTAAACATACATCTCTTCCGCAGTGCCAGTGGGCAACATGTTTAAATCTCTTATTCGTCTGCTCAGCCACTACCACATTTGTCAAACTGTTTAAAGATGTTGTTACACATGAACGGTGCTTTATAAATGCAAGTTGCTAACACAAATATTTGTATTCAGTTAATTGCTTCAATGGATTAAGTTTTTTTTAACTAAGAAATGGAATTTAATCAAAGAAATGAACAACACAAAAGAAATTGTGACATGAATAACCAATTTTATCTGGGGGAATTTTGCCTTGGTAGAAACTCCTTTCTCTTCAAAGTACCATATTAGAAATTGTGCTGACTATTACAATGGCAATAAATTATGTGAAGTTTAGGAAACAAGACATTTTATTTTGAAACGATTCGGGCAGGACCATTTATCTGCTAGCAAGGAAATGACTTACAAAATACACAATTGCTACACTTTACAGTGAATCTTGTTAAGTGGTTTGAAATGTCATTCTGAGGTTAAAACTGTTCGGTTTATTATCTCTCTCTTTTTCAGGCATTTTTAAAAAAAGAATTTAGTGCAGAAAACATCCTGTTCTGGCAGGCCTGTGAGTCCTTCCAGCAGATCCCAGCAAATGACTCAAAACAAGTAAGCCTTTATGTGCCTTCACTCATCGTGTTTACTAAGAGGTTAATTAACGACTCGAACAGGTTGTCAGGAAGGGTGGTTGAGGCCAGACAATGGACTCGTTTAAAAAAAACTAGTTGATGCTGTGAGGTGGAGAGGGAATGGTAAGGTGGGTGTTCCAGAAGCGAGAAATGTGATGGGCTAAGGGGCCTTCTTCATCCAAACCATCGTTGTGATCTTGTGATAAGTGCATCGATTGATTTTTTTTCCCATCAGATAGGATGAAGATTATGGTGATAAAATTAATTATTGCTGTAGATTGTGCTTAATGTGACCATTCCTAGCTTCCCATTAAACTACTGTAATACCTGCTTGGCCAGTGGTCACAATGACCCGGTGCTTTCTCTGACTTTGATTGCTTTCACCTTTGATGCAGATATCTGCTTCTTCAGTTTTTGGCCCTTAAACCTTTTTTTTCCCTTCTGTTTTGAGGATTATTTTCTGGGCTGGAACCATTTAGCAATTGAAAAATTTCACACTCTTTCCCTAGACCAGAACATTTTATTTTGTGCTTGAAACTTGGGCCCAATGACAAGACAACGTATTACAGCAGGTTCAGTGCTGCTGAAAGTAGTGGTGATTTGACTATTTCTTCACTGCTCTCTCTCTCTCCTTCTCTCGCTGTATAAAGCTTGCAGAGGTAGCACGGAAGATCTTTAACACCTACCTGTCCAGCAGTTCCCTGAGCCCCATCAACATTGACAAGCAAGCTCAGCTGGAGGAGGATGTACTAAACTCGCCCACTTCAGACATGTTCAAGGCACAACAACTTCAGGTATTGTCTGTTGGTCCCACCCGTACTTAAGATTTCTAACCCAATCTCTAGAAACCATTACATGGAGAGACACTCTGTTCATAGCATAGTATTCAACAGAGCTTTTAGTTTGTTTCTGAAGACCTGTTGTGTTTTAAATGTGAATTGCGTCCCTTGTATTTGTTGTGATGATAACAATGGCAGCTGGCTTTTCCCTTTCCACAAATAATGAAGACAGTTATTTCTGAAATATTTAGTTGGGTTATGATCAAAATACAGGAAATGCAAAATATTGAAATCAGAGCTAATGGGTTTGGACGGTGAAGTGACAATATCTGGGTCACATTGTTCGTATTCACGTCATGTTCTCATTCCAAGTCCCAGTGACTGTGAACATCCCAAGATCAGGGGGAAGTGGTCAACCAAACCCAAAAGCAGAAAAGGTACATGCGATATACCACAACTGTGTGATCTGTCTCACATCAGGATAAATAGTTGAAGAGGAACAATATAAGGAATAGGGATGGGAAAGAGCAGAGAAATGGAATTGGACTATATAACTCAATTGAAGTTCTATTCTGTAATTGGAAGAAAGTATATAGCTGAAAATACTACACGGCAAATGGTCTCCTACTGTGGATAATGTATATCATTCCACTGCTCATCCCATGATAGTGTGAGCCATTGTCATTCTGACAGACAAACAGTAATATTAATGGCTTTTTGTTTACAAGATCTTCAACCTGATGAAGTTTGACAGCTACGCCCGGTTTGCAAAGTCACCACTTTACCAACAATGCATGTTAGCCGATGTTGAAGGCCGGCCTCTTCCTGACATTGAGCTATGTAAACGGAGCCCAGTCTCGGAATGCAGGACTAACGGGAACAGCTCGAGCCCCTCTGGCTCCAAGAAGGTAAAACCCTGCCCGTTCTGTGTGAAACCGTCTACATTCAACAGGACAGGAAATGGTAACTGTTGAGTTTAGATGGTTTCACACAGGAATTGTATTATTGGGATGTTGATGGAAAGAATAATTAGGTTTGACGGTTCCTGATTTTTTCAATAATTGGTGTTTGTTGAATTTCTCAATTTTCTCCAAATTGAGGAAAATGAATTCCCGTCATGAAATTTTCTTTTTACATTTTTTTCGATTGTTTTGAACTACAAAAATAGCCGACTTCCACGTGAAGTGTTCGCCTACTGCACCTGTGCAGTGCGGGCAGACAGCACCTCTGATTTGCGCAGAATACGCATGGACAGTACGTGGGAAGTGATTTCCACCCCAAACATACGGCCGAGAAGTTAGCCTTTTTTTAAACAAAAAGCGACCGCTAAAAATCGACCTCCTAAAAAATAAACGTAAAAAATACATCAATATGATCTGTCGAAATAAAAGATCCCATCGGTTCTTGATAATTCAGGCCGTAAGCTTGAAATGTAAAAGGAAAATGCTGAACACAAGATGATTCCTCTCTGCTTTTCAAGATTGTACTCTTATTTGAGTTTCTTGACCACCTGAGCAGAAAAAAACATTCTGGGATATAGGGAAAGTACTGAAAATAAACAGGTAGCAGAGACTCAAACTCCAATAGCTAAATGACCTCCTTCTGTGATGAAAATTTCTGTAGGTATTATAAGAATGCAAGTTCTTTTTTAATAGACAATAGTGTTCATAGGAAACCTGTTAACTTTATTCCTGCTTCACAGATAAAATTAAAATAAATGTAATAATGTCTCCATTTGATATAGCGTCTTTAATCAAAACATCTCAAAGTGCTTTGCAGGTTATTAATGTAAAGTGACTGCATTGTTGTTAAATTCCAGCCTCAAAGACTCAAGGGTCTGGTCTAGTGCTTCTCAGATATGTTTTAAAGATATAGCAATGGGTTGACTCTGCCTACTGGCAGAAGGTTTTAATCCGAGTTGAGATCAGTATTGAACATACATAAGAGGAACATACTAATTAGCAGGAGGAAGCCATTTAATCCCATTCAGATTACAATGATAATCCTTTATTTTGATGTGATTAATATGGCAGAAGCAGAGACTAAAATCAGGCAAGTCATTTTCTGGGAGCAATCTGGAAAGCTCTGACAGAAGAGGAGGGAGTACGGAAAAGCAGATCTGGCGAAATTCAAGCAAGTTAAGCCGGAGGAAAGAGAAGAGGGACTCCTTGGGAGGTTAGTGAACAGAACTCTAACTCATGAGAAACTACAGTTAATAACATAATATTAATCTTTGAATTTGATATACTGCTTTTCAGGTCTTCTAGACGTCTCAAAGCGCTTCACAGAATATACTGTAAAGTGAATGGACTGTATATTTTGTGGGCGAAACACGGCAGCCAATTGTCCACAGCAGTGTCCACACAAACAGTCGTGGATTGAGTGACCAAATTATTATTGCTTTTTTTCTTGAGAGATTATTATCAGGCGTGTGGAGTAAGGACACTAGCCCAAGGTTTCGCCCTGTTGGGAATTGAACGCAAGTCTCTCGCTTGCGAGGCGAGTGCTCTAACCACTGAGCTACGGGACTCCTGTGTATTTGTGGGCGAAACGCGGTAACGAATTAAGCACAGCAACAATAAAGCAAATACCTTTATTACATTTATTAAATATGAATGATAAACCTTTATTACATTTATTAAATATGAATTAAACCTTTTAAAACAATTTTAGCTATTCTGGCTTGTTTGAGGATTGCACGTATACTTCATTCATGCCATAAAAAAGTTGTGGATGTATCTTGTTTACAAACCTATGTTCTTACCATCTAAAATGAAAGACGTACTGATATAGGAAAATGCTCAGTGTGCAAGTCATGACACAAAAATAACATATGAAGGAGTTGATATTTTAAAGCTTTGAATGTGAAACCAAGTGTTATTTCAGTCCGAGTTCTGTTGCTAGTAAAATACCATCTATGTCCCACACAGTCAGGAATTTCTTGCCATTTTCATTTGACATTTTTGGTGATTAAATTAGTGCCATGAAAGGTGATCACAAGAGAGGTTTAGGTGAAGATGGTGCTTCTGCCCATTTGATCCCATCCTAAAGGTCTCCCCTGACTGTTCACATATTACAGCATCGAGCTGCTTCTTAAATGAGCATCCTGACCTCAACCACCTTCTTGGTAACACGTTCCAGCTGCTGATCACCTACTCCCTGTGAAAATAAATATTTCCTGGTTTCTGTTTCAAACTAGTTCTTTCTGGAGCCTGTGTCCTTTTGTTTCGTTGGGTTGATGTATCGGAAAGTATTATTTTACTTTCTCTATAGTAATTAGCATTTTATACACAGAACTTCTCTAAAATCCCTTTCCGAGACATATTCGTTCAAGGCTGAAATGCTCCACTGAATATTAGTGACTACGTGTGAAAAAGGAAAGAGTCAGACTGTGAGAGAAGTGTGAGATGGGGAAAAACCATGTACGACAATTTGCAAGACATACAGAAAGTGATGATACAAAGACAGAACGGGGAGATAGGATAGGGATAGAAAAGGGCACAGAGGCAGGAACTGAGGGAGAGAAAGTCAGAAAGACACTTAGAAACAAACAGGAGAGAGACAAATTCACAAGTAAAATATAGTTATACTTGCTTCCAACAGTTCGCTCGGTAGACCTTTGCTCCCAGATAAATTACCCTCCTCCTCACTGCCCATCCCGAGAGGTTATTTTACTAGTTTAATTTGTTTTTCTTCTTTTAGCAGAATTTACAGAAAGCAATGGGTTTTCCCTGACCCGCCGAGAGTCACAGGGGTCAGTCTACTCCACAGCCAGTGTGGAACTTGGCTTCCTCAGCTCTCTCACTGCCAGAGGTGAAAAATCAGAGGTACAACAGGACAACCTGAAAGTCTTACAATTAAGGTTTATAGGAACAGGAGGTGGCCGTTCAGGTTATTGAGCCTGTTCCACTGGTTTATTGGATCATGACAGATCTTTTATACAGCACAGCAAGTGGAACACAGAGAGTTCTTTATCAAATTAATAAAGTGCAAGAATGCAGCACAGATTATGCTGGGGATTAGGGGTCGCGGAGTGAGGAACGTTTTCAAAACTTGGGTCTGTTTTTCCTCAAGCAGAGAAGATTGGGAGGGGATCTAACATAGATCTTCAACAAGTTGAAAGGCTTTGTCAGTGAGTTATTCCCTCTGATTGGTGGACAGGGGGCATAAAATCCAGAGAAGAGTTAAAGGCAGGTTAGAAGGATTGTTTTTATGAAGAGAATTAGAACATGAAATGCTTTGTCATGAGATTTTATTTTATTGACTATTAAATTTAAAGGGATTGGAAACACAGATGGAGAGAAATATTTAAAGGGTGAAGTACAGAGATCGCAGTAAAGGTAGTTGGATCTCATGGAGGAAAGAGCAGCAGCAATGGTTTAATGGGCAGAATGGCCTCCTTTCTGTGCTGTAACATCAATGATAATAATAATAATAATCTGAAAGTTGCTGTGTGTTATCTTTGGGTCATCACTGTATTTATTTTCTGTTTTGGGGGGATTGCCACTATTCCACTGATGGCAGGGACCCATGCTGGAGTGTGGGTCATGGGCACCATACCCTCCAGTACTTTGTCCAAGTACCATTCCTCATGTAGGAAAAGAGATCATAACTGCCTGTAGACTGATTACTGATTGAGGGCAAGAACCAAGCTTGATCCTGTTCAAAATCCTTGCATTTTACTACAAAAGTCAATGGATGGTAATTAAGAGTCCAAGTAATGCTTCTCTTCAGTACAGATTGCTGAACCCTGTTCCATTATAACGATTGAACCTAGTATCGCCAGATCTATACCACTAATGCTCTTAACACCTGAGCATTAGACCAGCCCCAGGAACCTCTATATTGCACTCAATATTGATCCATTGGAAGCTTATAAAGAACTGGCATTTTTATATGATGTGGTGATCTGGTTAGCAGAAGGAGTCCGCACTTAGGTTGCCCTAAAAGCATTTAATTAGAAATTGGCACATAATAATAATAAAAAATTAAAAAATTAGCCCTTAATGTAGACAATGAGTGAAGGTTGATGGCATTTTAATGTAACCTTTCCTTTCTGTCACAGAACGAGAGACCGATCAGCAGTGTTCCAGAGACGGAGAAAGAGCAAGCGATTAAATATTGTTGTATTTACCTGCCTGACGGAACTTCGTCCTTAGTCAAAGTCCGTGCTGGTCTAACTATCCGAGACCTGCTCTTGAACATTTGTGAGAGACATGGAATCCCAATGGCTGCTACAAGCATCTATCTGACCAGAAATGAGAAGGTACGCTTGACAGTTCACAGTTTGTAATGTGCTGACTGACCTCAGAGTTTCTGAGTAATAAAGAACAAGTTAGAATCAAAATTATGGTTTTCCTGCCCTCAAGCTTTTCTGTAGCTTTCACTGGTGACAATAAACACATTATTGACTGGAAACTCTCCCTATTGGTATCTTGCTGATGAAAATCCCCTGGCTTCAAGAGAATGGTTTCTCACACAAAACTTGACTGCCTTTTTTTAAACAATCTAGTGAGAATTTTTTATTTGATTCACAGCTGTTAGTGTTACTTTTTAACTTCAACATTTTTACTTTTAAAATGACCTTCAGGCCAGTGTCCGGCTGAGAACCATGACATCTGTGGTCTCAAGTTTAGTATAGAAATCCAAATGCTTTGCAGTTAGCAGAGTTTCTGTAAGATTTTAGCTATATTATAGGAGTCAGTCATTATTAGTGACTGTCATTCCAATTCACTGTGTTTTGGAGTCCTCTAATGGGTTTGGGGCTGTTAGTCTGTATGAATTGGGCTCATTCTTAAAAAACATGTCTGTAAAAAATTGAACCTTTTCTCCCCTACTAACTCCAGAAACCACTGGTGCTGGACCAGGACTGTATGATACTGAGTGATCAGGAGCTGCGTGTGGAGAAGAAAATACTCTTTGAGTAAGGATTCTACCTTGTTTCCTTTCCTAAGGTTTTGCTTTTAAGGAAGAAATGTATTGATATTCCAGATGTTTTTTCTTTCCATGCTGGGGCCCCTCCGACTTCTCCCTCCCTCCCCACTTTCAAAACAAACCCGACTTAACAACTTATCTTTTCCCCACCACCCTTGAGTGCATTTCCCTTCTCCCCAACCAGCTGTGTAAAGTGCTTTGAGACATTCTCCCCAAATGGAAAGCACTATATACATACAAATTGTATTGTATCATAAAGGTAATAGCTTGTTGAAAGGTAATTACTTAAATCAAAGATGGAAACTTCCACCAGTTTTGGACAGCGTGGCATTGTGCCAGAGACCCACCATTGCTCCCTTCACACCTTGGCCCTTGTCTCCTCTCATCTTTCTCCATCCTCATCTCTCACATGAAATCCACCACCTATTGCCTTGGCCCATACCTACCCAGCTCCTGATCACCTAAAGATCCCTCCTTGTCTCTTCGCCCACTGATGTCATCAGCCTCTCCCTCACAGTACCTCCCTTCCCTAACCCAAACCAGTCAATAATTAAAATCATCTTTGCATTTTACTTTACATTGTAACTTTGCATTATTGAATGATGGATATCACATTGCATAACCTATTTCACTCCATTGTTTTATAGCTAGAAGTTGAATGTTTGATCCTCAGTTTGGGAGCATTTGCTGTTATTCCTCTGTTGACTTTTCGATCTTATTTACTTTTAGGTTAGAGTTGGTTCCAATCAACAAGAAGCTGTGGGTGACAGCCAAACCCAACAAAACAGTGGCTGAGGCTCTCCAACCATTCCTCATCAAATACAAATTAAATGCTAAGGAGATGGAGGCTAAAATAGTACGTTTTGAAACAGCATGACAAACATTATCCAAAGAAACTGTTGATATCCGGATGATTGAATACATTTTGAATGCATGGTTGTCTGTTCAGGTGGATGTTATGGATCCCATGTCACTATAAGAAAAGAGAAGGGAGTTTCTTCCAGTGTTCTGGCCAACAATCCTCTAGATTTATTACACATTCACATCTTGGCTATTTGTGGGAACTTACTGTACACAAAAGAACTGCCACTTTTGCCTACAAAACAGTCTTCACATTTAACAGTAATTACTGTTGAGTGCTTTAAGACATTTTAAACCTGGTAAGGTGCTACATCAACCTCTTGCACCCTGTGAGAAGGTGCCAGAGCTCTGTGAGCTAGTAACTCCCAGGAGGGTGAGGGTGAAGTTGAATTACCGGTGTCATGCTGTATCTCACTCGAGATAAGATTTCAATTCCCTGGGGGGTGCTTCCTCTAACATCTCAGCTAAGAACTGATAAAATACCACAAGTGAGCATGGAGACAGCATAAATCAGGGGTATAAGATATCTAAGTTGTTGGACCTACTGGACCATACAACCTACTCGGAATGATTCTGAGCTCCCACATTGGGTTAGTGACTTTATCCATTGATTAGCTGAGCCATAAGGCCATGGTCTGTGCTGCATTTCTGATCTCAGACAGGCAGCAATTGGCCTCAATCAACCAATTTAAGGAGGGAGAAAATCAAGCAGTGTTCTTGATCGATGTCCAGTTACAGCAAGTGTGTGGTTATTGAGTGAGGACAGGATCTGGCTCGGCCCAGTGTCTCCTGTGAATTCCCTGACAATACTCACTATCAAGGCATGACAAATGCTCATCGGGTGAGTGCTGGGGCAGGGAGATTGGCTGTCTATTCAACTATATCCAGGTGGAATGTAAAAGAGAGATTTGTTTGGGAAACAAAATTGGTCAGAAAGTGAAGGTAAATTAAATGGAAAGATAATAAATCAATAAAGGACCTGAACGCAAGGCTCTGGATATGAATTGGTTATGTGAGAATGGGGAGAAATGTTGATTAAGTACATTGGAAGACTGGAAAAAGTGGAAGTGAGATTTAAACAATTGTTTTTAAACTTGTACAAACCAGAGTGGAGAATCGCAGACTCTGAAATCAAATGTTAAAGTATCGTGTCTGGAGAATCAGAGGGTTGTCCTGGATTCAATCAGAAAAACACAGCGAGGTATGTATCAGAGGTAATGTTCAATAGTGGCCAGCAATCAGGAGACCAGCGCTTGTCTATCTGCCCTCTGAGACCACCCTTCAGATGAGATGTTAAAACTGAGGTCTTGTCTGCCTGTTCAGGTGGACGTCAAAAATCCTGGGGCACTATTCAAAATGAGTGTCATTCGTTTCATACCTTTTGTGGACATTGTAGGGTTAACAGGAGCTGAGTGGGATGATTCCCTGCCCCCAGTGACTGGTCTGCCCTTCCAGGTCCTGCTGATGAGCCAGAATGGCTGTGCTGTCATTAGCATGACATTCCGATGCCAGGCATCTCACCTTGGAGCCAGTTCTGCTTCAATGAGACTCCTTTAACTCCAAGGACATTCTGCTAACACCCCTGCCTCTCTGTGTGTTGGTATATGTGTGTCATGTGTACGTCTCTGTCTGTTGGTTTGTGTATGTTAGTGTGTGTGTGTTTTCCATAAAACATCAGCCCTCTATTTGAATGGAGTTTAAAGATAAGGTGAATAAATGGCAGCTAGAAGTTCATCTTGGGCCTTGTTGTTAACTGCCCAGCATCTTAGGACATCCTCCTGGTGTGAAATTCATAATCTGAAAATCAATAAAACTCAGGGAACAATCACACCGATCCTAAATATCAGAAAGATAACGTTCAGATCTCTCTCTCAGGGTGGTTAAACTAAAGCCTGTGGATCCCTTCAGTTTGTGAGTTAGAATCTGTAACGCTGGTGGCAGAAATAATTTATCCCTTCATGCTTCCATTTGCTTATAAAGGATTATGTACTGTACAGTGAAGAGGTGTGAGGGTGTCCACTGAAGGCCGCTAGAGGTGTAGCAGTACAGGTGGCTTTCTGTGCTAATCGGTGGTGGTGTAAGTGGTCAATTCCAAGTTTAACGTCAGTCTTTGAACTCGAGGATATGGATCCAGTTAAGCCGGTTGGCAAAGGGCTGAGAAGTTGATAGTTTCCAAAGAGTCACCTCATCAGTAAATTATATTTTTCACTCCTAATTTGTTTTCCCCCACCATCTCTCCTGTTTATTTGTTCAGTATTTTGCAATACTTTATGTAAATGTCGCAAGCCAAGGATATTAAGAAATGGGATAGGATAATTATCACCGGTGATCATTCTCACAGAACATGTTGCAAATTTCATCCAGAATTCCATCTTGTTGTCCAAAATAGAGTAGAACAAAGCAATTCAACCAAGAAAACAACAATTATTCACTTTTAATTCCGGCTTGTGTCAATTTAGCTTAGTTTGTGATACCCTTGTCTCTGAATCCAACTGTCCAGTGCCCTGGGACGTCCTCCCGACGTGAAAGGTGCTCTATAAATGGAATCTTGTTGTTGTTGTTGAATCAGAAGGTTGTGGGTTCAAGCTCCACCCCAGGGCTTAGAATTTATGTACTGTAGGAGGGCACCCAATACCATGCTGAAGGAGCTCTTCTTTGGATGAAAAGTTAAAACAAGGTCCCGTTTCTCCCAATGTCCTGGTCAACAATCTCTCAGATAAAATTGGCCATTTGGTTCAAGACAGCTTGTTTGCTTACAAAATATGGTCATTGCACTTCACAGTATATCGTATGAAGTGATTTGAGATGACCTAATGTGGAAGGCTATAGGTAAAATGTGAGTATTATTATGAGAATAATTCTTCACGTAATTATGGATTATATTTTTAAAAATGTGCATTAATAAAAATTGTGGATATGAATGTAATAAAGGGAGCCATTTACTAGGTGCAGAACAAAACTAAACTCTATTGAGTAATAATAAAATAACCATGCATTCGATATAGGGCCTTAATCCATTATTGTCTCAAAGCTCTTCACAAGATTTCTGTAAAGCTCAGTGATTGTATTAGTAGGTGTATTTGAATTGGTGATCTCAACTACTAATAATACCCTGTTCTGTCCTTGACAAACCCCTGGCGTGTACTCATCTGTACAATTGCATTTGTCTTTAATCAATAGTCTTTGGTTGTATTGATAGATTAGTAAGAGCGGACATTCTGTTCAGTTTTCAGCTCCACAATCACCAACAATTGGTTGTGTGATCAAACACACTTCTGACCAAATCGATCAGTGGCACCTAAAATAAAATCATCACAATCCAGTTGTTGCTGAGTTAATAAAAACCTTGATTTGTGATCAGGAATTTCAGATTTAAAAAATCTAAACTGTGATTTAGCTGATTGTGAAAGTTGGCAATGGCTGAAAAGGTTATTTTGTCAGACTTTCCAGGCCTTATTTGGTACCTTGAAGTGATTGAAAAGTCAGTGTTTTTTTTAATCTCAAAATTGTGAATCACAGAATTGGAATTAAATCAATTACTTCCAAGATCCACGGTATTTTGTCTTTGAAAGGCAGTGATTGGAGATAAGAAAGAACATGTGCAACACACTGACTGACTCTCTGACCATTCGTCTGTTTTTNCACAGATAAAACATCGGAGGTGATAAAGAATGTCAGTCGATCTTCCTCAAGCCGTGTAAGTGTGACAAGATCTCTATTATATACCATCACTGGATAGTTATATATTTCACAAATCCAAATATAGAGGGTGATTCTCCAGTTGCTGGTAAATGTGCTGACCAGCAGTGACTAAAATGCAGCCTCTGGCCATGATCAGTAAATATAGACTAGCATTCCTTACAACTATTGAACCTCCACAAAATGCATTACATTTGTTGGCTTTACAACACAACCTGATCATTTCATTCATCTTAGCGAACATATTGTGTGCTTCTTTGCGATGCCATTTTAGATTTCCAGAAGTCTAATTTGCGGTATCCCTTATTAAGAATCCTGTTAGGAAATCCATAATTAACGGTCTTACAAAACTTTGCAAACAATGTACAGCATGGAAACAGGCCACTCAGCCCAACCAGTTTCCTGATAACTGATTAAGAAACACCATTCAGATACGGCAAACATCACACCCCAAATTCTTTGCCCAGGGTCTGCAAATTCACCTGTGACTACAGAAGCTTTTAACAAGTCTCGCGTAGCTAATTCTTGGTCAACCCATTCAAAGATATTGGTATTATTCAAGAACTGCATCCGAACATAATGGGGGTAACTTTTGAGATTTGCAAATTGAAGTAGCAAATCCTGCAGGTACCTAGATGTATCTTGTACTGACTCTTGGGATTCTCCTTCGATTCCTGTTGGACACCACAAACCTCTTATGGCTACAATCTTGCTTCACCAAAATTGAGATTGGTATCTGTGTACCAGCATGTCACCTGAGAGGTATCCACCCACCACAGGATTCACTTTTTGTAAATTCTTAGGCTGGGAGCTATCTGATTTCTCGATTTGTTTGATGAACAGCTGGAGACCTATTCAGGGAGCAAAGGCAGTTATGAAGTTGCCTCCACGGATTCTACAAAAAGAAGAGGAAAAGGAAGTAAGGAGGAAATGAAGCAGGTGTATCGTAAGACTTACGATGTGGAAGGTATAACAATTGCTAGAATGTTTTCCACAAATGTCCTAATGAGTAAAAGCACACCCCAGTGCAACACTAAGCCTTATGGTTACAGATTTGAATTTTGATTTTTTGTCAGTTTCCTGATCTTATCTGGATCAGTAGATAGAGCTGAAATAACCGCAGCATCCCTGGTTTAGACAACCAGCCAGGATTCCTACTCTTAATCATTGGAAGTACGTAATAATAATAAAAACCTTGCATTTGATATAGTGCCATATTACATCTTCGAAACATCTCAAAGCACTTCACAGAATGTACTATAAGGGACGTCCTCCTGACGTGAAAGGCGCTTTATAAATGGAATCTTGTTGTTGTATAAGGTGAATTGACTCTAGATTTTCTGGGCAAAAATCATGGTAGCTAATTGCGAACAGCCGTGTCCTACAATCAGTCGTGGATTGAGTGACTATATTTTTTATCCTCGGAAAAGCGATCTGCCAATCAAGTAACAATCAGGTTCCTACATACTGCTAAGTAAACAGTGGCGTGTGAAGTAAGGAAACTTGCCCAATGTTTCATCCTGCCCAGGAATCAAACCCAGGTCCTCTCGCTTGGGAGGCAAGTGCTCTAACCACTATTCTACAGGACTCCACATGTATCTGGATGTTCCGTGAGGACAGCTTTGGGCTCGGTTTTTGTTCAATAACCTAACTCACCTTCCAGGCTCATACATGAGTGATGCCCTCTTGAGCAAGTTTAAGAGGGTCCCTGGTATCCCTTTATAGAAGGAGGGGAGAAAATTGCTTGAAATATTTTTTCATGCGAATAGTAGCTAGACTGTAACGATTGTACTTTTTGTCTCTCCCCTGCAGCACTTTTTGAGTTATTATCAAAAGCACAGAGTTCCCGTGCAAATGACCAGCGAGGGCTTCTCAGCAAAGATCACCTTGTGCTGCCAGACTTCCTGCAGCTTCCTGAAGAATTGTCTGAGTTCTGTATTGATTCGCCCGTGTCAGAAGCTGGGGATGAGAAGATCATTAAAGGTCCAACCCAGCCAGAGAACAAGCCTGGGGCCAGTCAATGGCCTTCTGATAAAGGAACTGCTGAGGGTGGATGCAATCCTGTACTTCAAAGTGCACTGAACCCCTCAGTTAAACAGAGCTCTACTGCCCAGGCCACACAAGGTCACATTTCATACAACCAGAAGAGTGCTTGCTCCCAACAGAGTTCCAACATCAGAGGACTAGGGCAGCCGAGCTCCAAAGAGCTGAATCCAAACCAAGGTTCGTCTGGTGTAACTGATCCAGCCATTGCTGTTCACTGTCCTGCAGATAAGCCTGAGGTTCAACAGTCCACAGTGACAGGTCAGAAGGAAACTGTGCTGACACAGCACTGTAATATTGTATCTGAATCCACACAGAAGCAAGCTGACCCTATAGACCCACCTGCCCCAACACCCTGTCCAATGCCCATACTCCAGTAGTGTTTATGTTTGATTGGTCACAAAGATGTAAGCTCGATGCACTTTAATGAAACTAAACTTCCTGTTATATAAATGATGGCAAAATTTATACTGTACCTTTGGGGCTGGCTAGATGGACTGAAGTCGGCCTTTCTAGTGCCATATGTTCCTATGATCTATTATTGTGCATTAATCAGAAGTTGACATTTGCAGCAGATCATTATGAATGATTGAAACCGTGTACTGTGGCCTGGTTTGAAATGTTGTCCCTCTTAAAGACACCAGCGAGGTTGAATTAGAGTCCCAAACGATGAGTCCTAATATTATTCTCAGCTCGTTGTCATGGCGGGAACACATACTGATTTCTACCTAATGTGCTTCTCAATTCAGCAAGGATTTGGACCGGCATAATTCTAAACTGTCTTTAGCCAAAGCAAATCCAGCACTGCAATTAACGCACTTGTTCAATGTCCGTTTTGTTTACATTTTCTCTTATTTGTTTGTTTGTACATTTGTTCTTGTTATAAAGAAAGACAATTTTAGGAACTACTGTTGAGCCTTTCTGCACTACTGATCAGGTATCATATCATATTGCAAGACCCAACATGAACCCTCCTCATGGACCAACCAAACTTTGTTTTATTGAAAAAATAGAAGAACTTGTAGCCTCATATAACATATCCAGACCAAAAGTCTGAAAGTGCTTCAGAGTAATTATTATGCTATGCCTGGTTTTGAAGGCAAACATAGCAATCAATATGAACACATCAATATCCTACAATTAGCCATGATATCAATGACAAATATAGTCTGGAGCATCGTAAACCAGGACACCAAGGAACCATCATTTTCTTTTCCAGGAGTGTCACTGAGCCACCTGAAAGCAACCAGATAACATCCCAGTTTAAAGCCTCATCCAAACAACAGCACTGCTGAGAATGCATTGATTCCTCAGTATACACTGCTGAGTCAGCCAAGTGTGGTAAATCATGATAACCATAAGCTTCTGACCAGAGATGAAAATGCAACCGTCTGAGCCAGACTGGCACCTGATAAAGTCCTATTCACTACCCACTTTGAAAACTGTTCTTTGCTGTTGAGAGGGAGCAGGTGAAGGCGATTGTTCAAAGAACAGAACCAGCTCAAAGATCCTTCTTTGAAAAAACTATGTTCCCTTTTAATTCTAATGTATTTTTTAGGACCGTTGAGAAAGTAGTTTTAGTTCTTACATTTTATTGGTTGTTTCGTCTTTGCCATAATGTTGTGTTTCTGGTCGCCACAACATAAGCAGTCTGCCCAGGCTCTAGAGGTAGTGCAGAGGAGAACATCAAACATAGTCCCCAGTTTGAGAGATTTCTCAGAGGGGAACTTTTACCCACAAATATACGGTCAATTCACTTTACAATCTATTCTGTGAAGCACTTTGAGATGTCGAGAAGATGTGAAAAGCGCTATGTCAAATGCAAGGATTATTATTATAACTTATTAAGGTGTATAACATATTAAATGGTATTGAAAAAGTAAACCCAGAATAATACATTAGGAAGGACCAAGTCTCAACATCTCTTTCCAGCTCAGTGTCTAGTGTCAGACTGCCCTAGACTATATGAGTTCTAAGTTTCAATGTGGGGCTTGAACTCTCAACCTTCTGACTAAGAGGTATAATTGCTACCAACTGAGCCAGGCTGTCAGTAAAACAAGACGACACAGGTTTAGAGTTGCAAAGGGCAATTTTAGGACAGGCACCAGGCAGAAATAACGACTGGAACAGGTTACCTGGATGGGTAGTTGAGACCAGGATAATGGATTCATTTAAAAAACAGCTTGAGGCTGTGATGGTAGACGGTGGGTTTTCTGGAAGCATAAGCTCAGATGGGCTGAAGGGCTTCTTCATCCAAACCAAACTTGTGATCTCATGAAAGTAATTTCTTGTAACTGGGCCGGCTTGGTTGAAGAGGTTCAGGTGAATTGCAAACTTTTTTTTTAACACTTTAAAATTATTGCAAGTAATATCCCGATATTTTAGATACTTGTTGGAAATGGTCTCCTAGCCTCTCCTTAATGGATTTAGTGAACTAACTTTAAATTATACAACGCTGGGCCTATTGTAGTTGCTGTACATCATTTACAAGGACAATTTACATTTAAACAACTCCCTCCCCATCAAATAAACTTCTTGAAGCTTTATAAAACCAGATTAATTTGAAATGATGTGAATGTTATGGAAGTAAATGCAGAAGCTAATCCGGGACAGCATTCAGATGAATAGTACCTCAAACTGTTCAATCATCATGAGTGGCAGCACTGAGCAACATGAAAATTGTAGGATTGATGCCTAGTCTGTGATAGATTAGCACCTCAGCGCAGGAAACACTTGGGACTATAATTAACATCAGCACTCCTAGGATCACAAAGGTGAAAATCAGCAAAGGTTGCTTTGCTGTTGCCTATCATGGTCTAAAGACCCCTCCAGGAAGGTGTGTGGATGTTGAAGATGGGATCAAGCTTGGCGTCAATCTCCCTCACCTTTAAATAGCCTGCTGAATGGTGATCGATTGAGAAATGTACCATAATGCTGCAGAATGAAAAAGGTGTCATTCACTTTCAGAAACGGAGGAGAGGAGAAAATTGGCAAGGGAAATACTTTTAAAATATATATTTAAATTGTAAATTTATTTTTTATTGGACTTACTCGGGTTTTACTGACGTAAATTTTGGTTTTGCGAACATTAAAGCCAAATAGAGAATATGAATACAACCTGTTGTGATTGTGTCTCCTTGTTCATGCTGTTTGGTTCTGGCTTTTTGCTTTTTCTTCTCCCTTTCAGAGAACGTGAATCCCACGACAAAAGTACATTGCCCTTTCAGACTTTGTATTGTTAGCTGCTGATGACTTTGAGTTGTCTCCTTATTGGGGGAAAAAAAAGGACTTCACTTCACTGATTCACTTCCTGGCTTTAGAAAACTTCGCTCTTATTATTTCTTGCCCTTCTCATTCACATCCAGAAAATAAAACTGGCACATTTTGCACTGATATACTCATTGTCTTATTCATTCAGAAGTCAGAGATGATGTATTCCTACACATACCCCTTCAGCAGGGATTGATGGCCCATGAACCAAATAAGAAATTCTGGCCAATTTCCCTTCTGTAACCAAATTCACTGAGGTCATCAGTGGACTCCACTTCTGCTCTGGTATTCTTATTAAGATACATTATTATTTATTATATCCATTGATATTTAATGGCCAATCTCCTTTGTAAAAATTGGGATTAAAACCTGTTGGCTGACACTGTCAGGGTGAAAGAGTAAAGGCCCAGCACTCCAGAGAAAAGACTCCAGCATGGTGTAGCTTCTAGGTGGAACAAGTACGAATAACATAACAAACAATAGCGATGTAAATTGTAAATTTATTTTCCTTTTGGAAACAAACAGTTGACTTTTTTCCCTCTCCTTTTGCATTGACAAGGCCGGGGTAACATTGGGATGTACTTCGCTTGATGTTAAATCTGACCACGCTTCCCACTTTGCTGTGTTTGGATGTAGTGTGCGGAGTTTGGGCAAGATGCACAGGGATTGGTGTAAATGTAATAATAATGATACTTACATTGCACCTTTCACATCGGCACATCTCAGATTGCTTCACAGGTTATACTGTAAGCAGCCAATTTTTGCACAGCAATGTCCCACATACAGCATGAAGTGAATAACAAATTGTATCTGGTAGCTGGGAATAAGATCCCCAGAACTCCCATTGGGAATGATAGCTGGGACTAGACAAGAGTAAAGTAGATCCAAACTATTAGTAAGGAGAGGAGAGGGAGTGCAATAAGAAATGGAGAGATCTAAAGCGGTGTTGTTTGATGTATGGCTATGGTACTCATGTTATCAGCTTCAAAAGGATCTGAGAGGAGTCTCCAGGATTCAAACCCAGATCCTTCCAGTGTTATCAGGATCTGGAAGTCATCCGAAACACTTTTTAAGATAGAAAAATGCTTTGGGTGATATTTGTGCTCTTCAAAGTGTAACATTTGTGCATCTGAGTCAGAAGGTTATGGGTTCACGCCCCACTTTAGGACTTTTAACTTACAGTCTAGGCTGACATTCCAGTGCAGTGTTTGGGGAGCACTGCATTGTCAGTGGTGCCATCCTCCAGATGCGAAATTAAATCGAGGTCCTGTCTCCCTGTTCACATGGACATTAAAGATGAAGAGATGAAATGTCCAATTTAAAGTGCCAAGAAATTGTTGCCTTCTTCAAATAAGGAGTTAACTTTTGTAATTTGGAAATCCAGAAACATGTTTGCCAGCATATTCAACATTTTAGTTTGAAAGTTGACACGTTACTTATTTAGAAATCAGTTGCTACTCAAATTAATTTCCAACGTCTCTTTTTCTGAATGAAGTCTTGACAATTCGGACTCTGGTGAACATGAATTTCCAACTCCTGAAGGTTATTCCAAATGTATGTTCTGAAAAGACCTGAATCCTCATCCCTTGTAAATGTGTCTGCTCTTTGATGTGATTAATTTTGCTAATCTGAGATGAAAAGAAAGACAAAGTAACCACAATGATTCAGAAGTAGCAGCCTGAGGGCATTGAGTCAGACTCAATGAGAGCCAATTGTGACATTACACCAGAGTGAAGTATTTCTTCAAATGATGTGAAAAACAGAAAGAAGCTCACTGGATCCTAATCGCTTGTGACAGAATGTGACATGCGCTGTCTGAAACAATGCTAACACATGGAATTAGGAACAATTGCACTTTGAGAGAAAAATGAGACAGGATTAAAATATTTAAGAATGCTGTCATAATTATTGACTTTTCTAACAGCAAAAAGGCTTTTTTTTCAATAAGAAAATGTGACACACTTTTTGGGGTTGAAAAGTATTAATAAATGCTGAAATTTATGAAGCATAAATTAAATATCAGTGAACCGGGAAGATTTAAAACTGTAAGGAGCTGTTTCTCTGATTTTTCTCCTCTCCTGAAGTCAATGACTCACACTGTGATGCAGTTCCTCAGATCTGGCAAACTCTGATACCTCAACAATGTTTTCTCTGTGTATGAGTCGGGAGACTGAGCACTGACTGCTATCCAATTGTGAGGTATGTCACAGGTTAGTCTCCCCTCTATTCTCCACCATACATTTATAATAAGCTTTGCATTTTATATAATAATAATCATAATCCATGCATTTGATATAGCGCCTTATCACGTTGTCTCAAAGTGCTTTACAGAATATATTGTATTTTGTGGGCAAATGTGGCAGTCAATTGCACACACTATATAATATAATAATAATCCTTGCATTTGATATAGCGCTTTCCTCATCAGAATATGCTGTAAAGTGAATTGACCGTATATTTTGGGTGAAACGCGGCAGCCAATTGCGCACAGCAGTGTCCCACAAACACTCGTGGATTGAAAATGACCAATTTATTATTGTTTTTGTTGGCGGGATTATTATTAGGCGTGTGGAAAAGGAAACTTGCCCAAGGTTTCGCCCTTTATGCAATATAGCACCTTACACATCCTTAAAATATCTCAAAACACTTCACAGGTTTTTCTATACAGTGTAGTGATCGAGAAATGGTAGGTGAAATGCAGCAGCTAATTAATGTACCACAAATAGCCAAGTAATGCTGCGTTGGTTGAAGTGCCATCCTTTGAATTGAGATATTAAACCATGATGCCTTATCAAGTTGATGTTAAAGATGCCATGGCACTATTCAAGAAGACAAGGGAGTTTCTCTTGGTGTCCTGGCTAACAGTTCATCAAAAGTAAAATTGGTCATTCACTTTGTGGCTGTTTGTGGGGCACTGCTGAGTGCAAATTAGCTGCTTCATTTGCTTATGAAATACACAGTATTTATTGTATATCCTGAAGAGGTTTGAGTTGTCTTCTTGACATAAAAGGCACAATACTTTTATGGATAATTATAAGGATAATTATTGAAGCATAATGACCTGAAGTTTTAGATAAGTTATCTTTATTTGCAGATGACGTCAAGTTAGGTATTATCTGGGAAACTGGAGAAGTTTGGACATGATAAGGTACTATCAAAATACAATTCTTTCTTAAGCAGTACGAACATATTCAGCTGCCTAGTTATTGAGCAATTTATGGCTCAAAGGCTATCACACGTTTCCTTTCCGGCAGCTGTTCCTGAATGTCAGTGTTAAATTATGCACTAAAAGAAAAGGTTATTTACTTCTCGAAGACAGGATTTTTGTGATCATTTTTGTTTCCTTCAAACATTATCCATTTAGTTACCAAGTCAATGCACCTGTCTAGAAGTGAGGTGAACCGCTGGTAGGTGAAAATGAGGCATATTGTGCATTGGGGTTAGACGTCCAACACATTGGAACTGATTATTATCTTTGCAGAGGATTGTTAAGATACTTACATTGTGGT